TGAGGACAGCACTTCCATGAATAAAATTAATGTCCTTATCAAACACACACACACACACACACACACACACACACACACACACAGAGTTCCCTTGCTCCTTCCACCCTGTGAGGAATGAGCCATCTATGAGGAAGTGGACCCTCACTAGATACCATATTAGTTGGCATCTTGATCTTGAACTTCACAGCTTCTAAAAGTGTGAGAAATACATGTTTGTTGTTTATAGGGCACCCTGTCTAAAACATTTTGTTATGGCACCCCAAGCAAAAAAAGATTTAGTTTGCTATGTTAAAAAAATAAAAACTACAACAAAACTATTTTGTCATTTTGCTTTGTGAATTCCATTTATTTATGTCTAATAGACCATCACTTTGGATCAACAGGGCTTAATTCCGTTTTTTTCTGTAATAAATGACCAAGAAGTATTAAGACCATCACTGCAAAATAAATGCCTAAATTTGAAAACCTAGTTTTAAAATTCTTGTAGTTGTAGTCACATTTGTATGGAAATAATCTATGTTTAGAATTTGTGTTATATTCAGTGTCCTACATATAGGAAGATTATATACCTGCAACCTTTCAAATTAAAGTATCCCATGTGTATTAATTACCTAGAGCTGCCATCATGAATTACCATAAACCTGGTGTCTAAAATCATCATAAATTTATTCTGTCACAGTTTAGGAGGCCAGAAGTCTGAAATCATTGAGTCTTTTGGTTTTGTTCTTTCTAGAGACTCTGAAGGAGAAACTGTTCCATGCGTTTCTCTCATCTTCTCTTCGCTGCTGGCAATCTGTGGTGCTCCTTGGCTTGTAGTTGCATCACTACACTGTCTGCCCATATTTTCACATAGCCTCCTTCTATTCATGTCTATGTCTGTGTGTCTTCATTTAGCCTATTTGTAAGAATGTCAGTCATTGGATTTAAGGGATACCCTAATCCAATATGACCTCATCTTAGCTAATTCCACCTGGAAAAGCCCTATTTTCAAATAAGGTCACACATTCTGATGTGCCAGGTGAGCATAAATTTTGGGCAGATACTATGTAACCCAGCACATTATGTTATTTGCTTTGCTCAATAAAATGAGAGCAAAAAAAATGTCCTATGTGATTTGAGGCTTAAGTTTTCAGAGTTAACACTTTGTTTACCATGCTCTCTCATTTTTCTTATGTCTCTGCTAATGGCTTAAAATGGAATTTCTATTAGCCTGAAAAAGAGCCCCTGTGGTGACATATGCAGTACCACATCTCATGAACAAGAAGATATAGACATCATTGTTTTCAGACACTAAGATTTCCAAGTTGCTCTTTTCCACAGAATAATTATGACAATCATGACTATTAGACAAATTAGTACTGGGTTGAAGTGCTTCCTTAACAGACAACCTAAATAAAATATATGACACTGGGTTTGAGGCTAAGTATTTGGTGTCAAGAAAACTCTTATTAGAGGCTGGAAGAGTAGTAACACATGTCATGCAGTGGCAAAAATATTTAGAAAAATATTATCTATGATAACTTAAGTGAGAAATATTGTACCTAATATGTTTTATCTTTAAAAGGTTTTAAAACAATGTTAGGTTTTTTTGTTATTGGTTGAATTTACCAGGATAATATAAGAGAGATGAGCTCAGAAAAGAACAGGCCATTTTGCAAGCAGACTTTAAAGAAAGTAGGGAAAATACAGAGTTGGATGGCTTTCTGAGCTGGAAGTTTAGGTGGTACTTATCTCCACTTACAATATACAAAACTAGCAAAACATTTGAATAATTATTTTTTAAGAGGCCACATAAAATGCTGGTTTAAGGGTCAATATTAGGATATAGTTATAACACCCATTTTAAAACCTTTCAATGGCTATAATGTACCCAGAAAATTCCTTCAGTTGGAAAAATATAGTTTAGGGAAAAGAAAAAAAAGGCATTCCTTTCTTGTGGAAGCATGGTAGGCTTAAGTTACCCCAATTAAATTTAGCAATAATCTTAGTGCTTCTTGATCTCTCATTTTTTCAGCTCATAGTTTTTGGTGTGTCTATTGTCAAGAGTCTCACTGAAATCAAATAGATGAGAAAGTAATTGACAGTTTGTCCATATAATCTCTCAGAAAGAGATTTTAATTTTACAGATTTTTAGTAGCTGTTTGAGAAATTATATGGACAAACCTACTGTAGACCTAGACTAAAATTGAACCCTCAAAATTCTATGGATTTTAAGCAGGCAGAGAAGATCAGCTGCAAAGAAGTCCATGTAGTATCAATAAAACACCTTGGCCTCATTATTGGCAAAATCAAATTATCCTAGGAAATGATCAATCAGTTGTAACTATAAATAATTTAGCTATAAATAAAAATTTATTATTTTTAAACTAAACAATGTATCATATTGTCTGGTAGTTATTGATAATTATTATTTCCAATCTATGAAACATAAGAATATTTATATATATTCTTCTACCTATGTTTTTCCTTAACTGGAGAAGCAGTAAGCTGATCTTGCCAGAATTCAAGTATTTTATATTTTAGAACTGCTTTCTACAAAATACAGTGTAGTATAAAAGTTTAAAGTATCTTTTAAAATGCAGACTTAGGGGAAATGTAAAAAGAATCATTCAATGTTTAATAACTGAAGATTAAAACAATGATTTCTGGTTATTTTTTTCCCAGTAAGGTATTGCTTCTCTTCAAATAATGTTCTAATTTTAGTAGCAGATATATCACAATATTTCAGGTAGGAAAATTACATAAATATGCCCCAAATCCAAACTTGAATATGTTGCTTCATGTTGCTAAGACTCACTGAATCAGGCTGTGAGCTGACTATTCCTCACAGCAGTAGGCATAGTAAGGAAATGGAAGACAATAGAGAGGAACAAAAAACAAGGCTTTGTGTTACATTGTATATAAAACCAGGGAAATTTGATCTCAGAACAATGGAGACTTTTGATGCAGTCTTTGCTAGCTGTAGAGAAAAATAATTCATTAATAAAAGTAGAAATCAATGAAATGAGTATGCTTTAAAGAAAAAATAAAGTATGGTTTTTGATTTAAATTTAAAAATCCATTCATACTGCATTTTGAATGTCCAGCAAACAAGCTAAATGTAAGTATATGTTTTCTCATCAAAACAATTATGTAAAATCCATCAGCATTAAATGGGTCCCTTTGTGCAAAGGTTCACACTGCTGCAAAAGTAATAACTTTGAAGAGTTCCTTTTGATATTATTTTAAGCTAGAATTTGTGATAAGATTAAGTCAATTATGAGTAGCTTATCTAACAATGAATTGCTTAGCTTATACATGGAGTTGCATTTCAAAAGCATGTTCAAGAGTTTAAAATAAGCTGAAAAGTGGATGAGGGGAAAAAAGTACAAATGACAAGTGTCTGTAGAACTGAAGAGAAATGAAGAATATGCTTTAAATTTCCTAAATTTTAAAAGATATGTGTATTGTGTTTTGCCTACAAAAATGAATATTTTAACATAAAGTTAAAATTACATATTATTAACATCGACACCCTCCTTAATGTAGTTAGATTCTCTAACTCAAACCTGAGGAATGTTGAAGATAATAATTTGCAAAGCAAGAGAGTATTTCAAGCAAAATGAAAGGTGAGCAAACTTCTAAAGGAGAGGAATACTTTGCACCTGCATAACAAAAATAATTGTTTTAAGAAGAAATATTGAAGTGGAAGATCAAGAGACTAAGCTAATGAGGAATATAGGAATTGGATATTAAGGTGTTTAAAAGCCAAGTTAAGGATGTTAGAACTTTATTCTTAGGGCAACAGGGAGTAAATGATAGTCTTGAACCAGGAGAGCATAGAATCATATGTATAGTGTATAAAAATCACTACAAGTATATTCTTCTGAGAAGATTAGGCAGATGAGGATCAAATCTGATGGCAGAAATATCAGCCATGTGGTTGTTTTGGAAATCCAGATGGAAATAATCATTATTTAAATAAGGAGAGTGCCAGTGGGAATTGAGGAATGTGACTAGATTTGTGAGATATTTTCCAAATAGAATTTTTACAATCTGATAACTGTTAAAGAGAATGTGACTGTATAGAGCGTATAAGAGGAAATAAAATAAAAATAAGCAGAAATCTGGTTTAGACAACAATGTACAGTGGCAATTGGAAATCTTTTGGAACAAGTATTTGTAGTGATTTAGGGCAGAAAGAAAGAACACAAATAAGAGGGAGAACTGATTTCAGGATTGGACATCGTCAGTTTCAGTGATTATGTACTAATGAACAATTGGACATGTGGGGTTTGAAGCTCAAAGGAGAGATATCTGTGAAATAGAGCTGGAGGAAAATAACTGATCAGGAAAACAATCAGAGATTAATGCAGCAACTACAATGATTAGTAGGAAGGGCCAGTAGTGATGAAGATATGCGTGAGAGAAGAGAATGAAGATATATTAATGAGGTAAAATATGCAGGATTTATTGATGAAAGGAAAATTTCTAGCAGAAAGTATGGAAATGCTATGTTTTATCTTGGGAGAAACATGAGCATATATGCATGTTAAAAGACCAGTGAAGATGAACAGATTAAAAACAAACCTGAGTGAGATCCATAAAAACTAAAGGGATAAGATCCAGAAAATGGATTTGTTGCAAGGAATGATTATGAACTAATAAAATATCCCTGATACCAAAATAATTTGTGAACTAAGCCACCTCCAAGATTTGCTGGCAATATATATGAAAGATGGCACATACCCTTAAGAATATAGTATCTTTATGTGCAAAATAAAAATCTGTCCCATTTTTCTCTTTGGCAGCATCACTTCATAGTGGAGGTGAAGGATGATATTGGACTGCATGAGTTGGAGAACATTTACAACATGGGAAGTTGCTTAAATAATAGAAATACCTGTAGAAATATTTCTAATAAGTTTTTTAACAGCTGGGCTAGAAGTGTTTCATTACATGTTGCTAGACACTAGCAGGTTTCACACAATCAACGGAGTTGAACTGGCCTTGGTACTCACTACTTTAGCCAGAAACTTCACAGAGATCACCACGAAGTGAAGCAAAATATCCAGTTTTCAAACACTCCTGCAAAGAGAGAAAGGAGAATGCGTAGCTGACAATTAGGATATATTTGAAGATCTAGAATTTAAGAATGAGAAAGAGGTGAGATCTGATCTTGTCTAATTTCTCTGTAAGGTAAAAGGTAAGGTTAATTGCTGAGAATAAAGATGGCATGGTGGGCGTTAATGGACCTAAATAGGATGGTGAATTCTTAAAAGATCTCATTTGGGACAAAAAGTGTTGATAGGTAAATGGGTCCAGAGCAATGTTGAAGACCTCACAGTAACTCTGCAATATACTTAATCAGAACTATAGGGCCAGGCAGGGTGGCCCACTCCTGTAATCCCAGTTTTGGGAGGATGAGGTGGGTAGATCAGTTAAGGTCAGGAGTTCAAGACCAGTCTGGCCAAAATGGTGAAAGCCCGTCTCTACTAAAAATACAAAAATTAGCCAGGTGTGATGGCATACACCTGTAATCCCAGCTACTCAGGAGGCTGAGGCAGGAAAAGTGCTTGAACCCAGGAGGCAAAGTTTGCAGTGAGCTGAGATCATGCCACTGTACCACATCTTGGGTAACAGACAAGACTCAATCTAAAAAAAAAAAAGCAGATTTAGCTGTGATTCATAAGTGAGTGCAGTTTCTTGAGGTTCTGACTGGAGTTTTAGTCAAGTTGCTCTTTGCTAATACAGTATTCATTAAGGCCAATGATCACTCACAAGTTTATTTGGAGATAATAGCCCATGAAAGATTATTAGGTATGAAAAATGCAAGTTTTCCTTTCTTTTCTTTTTCTTCCTTCTGCTCCTTCCCCTTGTCCCTTATCATTTTTTTCTTCATGTTCATTTTCAGCAAGAATATATGTTTCTTTCTCTTATAGACTCTGCTTTTATTATCTTTCAATTTTATATATTTGCCTTTTAAAAAGTTGGATAGTATTTTCAGACTACAAGGGAAAACAACTCTTTTCTAGCCTTACCCATTTTACCCCAAGTCTCTGAACTGATAATCAATTTCTTCAAAATTGATTATCATTGCTTGCAGTATTGAACCATTTTGCATTATTTATCTATTTAAGCTTTAGACACATCTTTGTACTCTTAATAAGGCAGTTGAAGATTTTGCTTTCCTGTGCTTAATTACTCTCAGGTACATTCTCTACTCCCCTTCCTTCTACCATAATTGTATGGTAATATTGGTCCTATCCACATTTATTTAAGATTTATGTTGACTGTGTAAATATTCAAAAGTGAGACAAGCAGGGTGTCATGTTTTTCTTCCCTTATGTAATTTATTATTCTCATTGGAGTTAATAATTGTTGAGATACTTCTTTGGTTAAATTATGTTTATATTCTAACAGATTCAGGACAAAATTCTCTGATAGAATTGTATGTCTCTATATGACTAAAGCTATCTGCAAATTTACTAGTTTCATTTCTGTGATTTTTCTTCTTGAACTTTATATGTGTTATTTTGTTTTCCCACATTCATACATTGAAGTTCTAGCCCCCAATGTGATGGTATTGGAGTGCAGCCTTTGAAAGGTAATTAGGTTTAAATTAGAGGGTGGGATGCTCTTGGTGAGATTATTAATCTTATTAGAAGAGGAAGACAGAGCTCTCTCTCTCTCTCTCTATGCGCATGCACCAAGGGAAGCCCACGTGAACACACTGCAGGAAGGTGGCTGCCTACAGGCCAGGTTGCAGGCTCTCACAACAAACCTACAGTACCCTGATCCTGAACTTCCCAGCCTCTAGAACTGTAAGAAACAATTCTCTATTATTTAAGCAGCACAGTCTGTGGTTACTTTGTTACAGTAGCCTGAGCTGACTAAGATACTATCTTTCTCTTCCAACGTATTCTGATGCTTTCAACCTCTGACAGTTCTTCAGGATTTCTCATATGATCAGCTTGGAGATTGTATTCATCACTTTCCTGTTACATAATCCTACTTTGGATCCTATCTCTTACACCTTTTAAAGCACAACCTATAGTTGTGTTAAAGCAAAAATTTAACTGGACAAATTTAAACAGGCAAGAAATAATTAAAGGCTCTTGTAATACAGGAACAAGGGCAAAACACAGTCTGAGTTTCTATCTACTGAAGCAAGGGGCTCTGGGGTTATTAAGAACTGGAGTGGGTGGATCTGGATCACAGGCCATCTATGCTTGTTAACTGGCTTTATTCAAATGAAAATAAACTCCTCATATTTTATGACAGGAGATGGTTTTACAACTTAGAGAAAGACACCTGCTAAAGTTAGTCTCTTACCCTTCCAGGAAAACTGAGAGATAGGGGCTCTATCTTCCTTGATGATTACACTTCAAAGGGATGGCTCCCAGGTCCCTGAGAAAAAGATTCCTGGGCTGTAAAACTGCCAAGTCTTTTTAGAAAATTGACACCTCAGAGGGCCAGAGAAATAATTTACAATGACAGCTATTCTAAAGTAAATGCTCTAACAGAAGAGAGATCAGGGATCTAGAGTACGGAAGATGGTCTTCAGTTTAGTGTAGCCAAGGGAATTACTAAGGTTGTCTTGGTCAGTAAGGTACTTTGCTGATCTTTTGAAACCTTTTTGAAACATTATGTCTTACCCTTGAATGACAGCTTGTACTGATGTAGAATTCTAGGTTGAAAGTCATTTTTCCTCATTTATTAACAAGGCATTGTTCCATTGACTTCAATTGCAATACTATTAAAGAATTCAGATGTTCTTCTCATTTTGAATCTTTTTTTCTTTGTAAGGTTATAGTCTTATTTTACCTTCTGTAATACTGAAGCTTTATTAAAAATATGTTTTTGTGTTGATCTTCTTTAATTTATTGTGCGAAGTACCCAGAGTGGCTTTTGAAAAAATATATATCTTATTCTTCAGTTCAAGGAAATGCCCTTATATTATCTATTTGGTGATTCTTCCCATTCTTATTTTTATTCTTGTTCACTTCTGTATTAGTTGAATATTCAAACATATGAATTTTTTTTAGTCTTTTTTCTTTCTAGGTATCCATCTCACTTTTACTGTTATTTTTCTAACCTTCTGAAGCATGTCTCCAAGTCTGTCCTCCATTTTTCTCTAGTTCTGTTGTAGTGATGATGGTGGTGGTGGTTGTTTCTGAATTTTGCCCTTCTCTTATGGTTTCCAGGAGTTCTTTCTTATTCTATAAATTTCTTTTCCTGCAGTGTTTTTGATATTTTTTTATTTTTTGGTAACATTTGTATACAGTCATGTCTTGGTTCTCTGAAGATTAATAGGCACTTTGAAGTTCTGCTACTCCCTACACATTCCCTGTTTCCTTGAAATTGCTCTTTATCTTTTTGCTCCCATGCTCTTTGCATTTTCATTTGTTGGATTCATTTTTCATATCTCTGGCTTACGTCAGATCTATGCTGATTATTATGTGCCATTTATATCTTAGTGGAAGATACTGAAAAGTTGATTTTGAACAGTTGGTGAATAAACAAGGTTTGTCTACTAGCAGTCCTCAATGTAGTGTGATAACAGAGACTTAGTATTGTTAGGCCTTTTCCTCAATGAAGGAATCTATAAATGTTTTCTCTTAGACTCTCTAATACTCTTGGTTGGGGCAGTGGGTTAAAAGTAAATAAGGAGACTGCTGCCTTAATTTTTTATATTGAGAACTAATATGGTTTGGCTGTGTCCCCACTCAGATCTCATCTTGAATTGTAGCTCCCATAATTTCCTCATGTTGTGAGAGGGACCAAGTGAAAGATAACTGAATCATGGGGTGATTCCCCCATACTGTTTTTGTAGTAGTGAATAAGTCTCATGAGGTCTGATGGTTTTATAAGGGGAAACCCCTTTTGCTAGGCTCTCATTCTCTTGTCTGCTGCCATGTGAGATGTGCCTTTTTGCTTTCTGCCATGCCTGTGGGGTCTTCCCAGCCATGTGGAACTGTAAGTCCATTAAGCCTCTTTCTTTTATAAATTACCCAGTCTCGGGTATGTCTTACATCTTTATCACCAGCATGAAAACAAGCTAATAGGAGAACTAAGCTTCACTTTACTCTCAACCTTGTCCTGATATCCAAAGTACAGAGTCTTTCCAATTAAATATCTCCAGATGAATAACCTCCTGTTTTTCCTCATTATTAGGTTGAGGAAGTTGCCTGGATATGAAGGCTCCAGGCTTTCAGGGATCAAACTGCTTCTTCTAAAGACTTGCATTTAAAGCCAGCTGTTAAATTCCCGAGCCTTGCCAAGGTCAGATTCTTGTTGGTTCTCAATGTTTGTGAAGGTATCATCTTTTTCACATGTGCTAAATCAGATATACATTTTCTCCTTTTTAAAAAATTGATGGATGTATATGTTTTAAAATTTCTAACTGTTTCTTGTAAATTTGAAGATTGTATATAAGCACATATATTCAATTGATGATATTTGAATTCAAACTAACATAAATTGCATAACTCATTCAAAAAACATTTCCCATTTGAATTTTCACGTTAAGATAGGCTGTTAACCTAAATATCTACCACAACTCTTTATTTCAAACACATAGACTTGTTTTGGAATTATTCAGCTTGAATGAGTAGGATGCAATTGTAAGGAATTTACACACACACACACACACACACACACACACAAACCAAACTCTGTAAAATATTTGAGTGACTGCAGTCTGAGGAACAGTCTCAGGAGGTCCTAAGAGTATGCCTGAGTCAGTCAGTAATATGGTTTGGCTTTCTCCCCAATCAAATCTTAACCTGAATTTGAATAAATTCCAAGTGTTGTGGGAGGGACCTGGTGTGCGGTAATTGAATCACAGGGCAGGCTTTCTCCATGCTGTTCTCATGAGAGTGAATAAGTCTCACAAGATCTGATGATTTTATAAAAGGGCCGTCCCTTTGCACACTCTCTCTTGCCTGCTGCCATGTAAGATGTGTCTTGCTTCCCTTTTACCTTCCACCATTATTGTGAGGCCTCCCCAGCCATATGGAACTATGAGCTAATTAAACCTCCTTCCTTTATAAATTACCCAGTCTCCAGTACG